AAAGGGTTAAACATATCAAAAAAAAAAAAAAAAATTGAAAAGCGTCTGACGTCATAACCTTGCGATTTTCATATAGAATAAAGTAGTAGTATTTTAAAGTATAATTTGTGACGCAGCAAGATAATGAATGACCTATATGATAACCGCATCTATTTTTTATTTAAAATATACTCTTTCAACATATATGCATAATGCGGTATACATAATATAATCAAATTTGAAATAAAATAATATACTCAAATTTGAGTAGTTGATACGGTATCAACAACTAAAATAATTTTTTTTTTTAATTATGTTCAGGTGGTTTAATTATGTTCAGATGGTAATACAAATTTGATTTGTTTATACGATATAAACAACTCAAATTTGCATTACAAAACCGCTAAAATTTATATTGGCCAATATAAATTTTAGCGGTATTTTAATGACAATTTTTGAGGCTTGTTATCCAATATAAATTTTACAATATACTTTAGTTTTATTTCAAGAAGAAAAAAAGGCTAAACACATTGCATAAAACAAGTGGGAAAAATATTACTAAATAAAATAATTTTTCCAAATATCCCAGTGACTTGAAAAAGAAATCATCTTACGCAATTGCATTAAAGAAGCGGGAAAAAGTATTCCAGAATAAAATAAAATGGCAAACAGTGTGAGCAAACGTTGTATCTTATTGATGATTTTTATACATATATATTATATACAGTGACGGATCCAGGATTTTTTGGTGGGGGGGGGGGGGATGTGGATACCAAAAGTGGTTAGAATTTAAGATCAAGAGCGCAGATTATTTCAATAGTTTCAATATTTCGATTATTTCAGGGTATTTATGTTCTGGTGGGGGGGGGGATGCATACCCCCATCCCCTCCCCTGGATCCGTCACTGATTATATATATGTTTAATATACATATAATATAACATACTTATATAACATACATATATAAAATATATACATATGTATACATGCATACATACTTATATATAATATATGTACATATATTATATATATATATATTATATATGTATAATGTATATATATATGTATATATATTATATATATATATATATATGTATGTATGTATGTATATATATGTATATATTTTATGTATGTATGTATATATATATAATATATATATATATATATATATATATATATATATATATATAC